CGATCTGGGCCGGAATGTCCAGACCCATATCATCTTGAAGGACACTGTCCTTCTCTCTTCTGTACGTAGGGAGCCGGGCAGGTGGTGTTATCTGTAGCAGCTGCTGGCTCACATGCACCCCGGGGGTCCTGGGGATGCTGGTCACACATGGGAGGAAGCAAGCCAAGCTGATGATGTCACTGCTTCTCTAACCTCATCTGTCAGTCCCTGCGAATCAGAGCCCTGGAGAGGGAAGCTCTGTCCCCTGTCCATTGGGAAGAGTGATGTGAGGGACGGAGCTATTACTTCCTGGCCGAGGAACAGAACAGTCTGTCCAGCCTGTCGCCGCTGGACCTTCCCCGTGAGCGTTTCTGCACACACCTGTGTCCGGCACCCCATCTCTGGGCTTCTTCTCGGTCTCTCAGGACCTGTGCCTCTGCCCTAGGCAGACAGTACAGTCAGACAGCAGGGAGGACCCCGATGCTGGGGAGGGCGGTGACAGTCCTTGATTGTTGCAGCTGTGCTCACTGGGAAGGGACACAGAAGGACGTGCAATGGCTCCAGCCCTGGACGGAGGCCTCGGCCCCACACGAACTCCTAGAGAAGGACATGGTGGCCCAGGCCAGCCTCCGGGCAACTCGCTCACTACACCGCTTGTTTTGGAAAACTGTATTTTTCACATTAGTTCATGTTTCCTCTTGTTTTTCACAGGATGGTGCTTAAAGGGTTCCTAATGTCCCCGGCCACAAGGCAGACTCCGCTGACCATCAGACCAGGATTTAGGCCTCAGGGTGGCAAAGCCACGGAGGAGACTGGACGCCCAGGCCCCACAGGCCTCTCGGCTCTGCTGAAGCCCTGACCGTGAGGGCACGGAGCCCCGGGCCCAGGGCGGAAGCCCCTGGGGTGAAGGGCTGATGAGCTTGGCCACCAGACTCCTCTGGCGCTCTGAGCTGGCAGAAGGCCAAGCCCCTCAGCAGGTGGGAGCAGCCTATCCTTACCCGGTGACCACCTTGTCCCCCAGGGTGATGGTGTCCTCCTCTCCTGCTCATCTCAGCCTAGACCACGGTTGCGTGGGCTCCCTCTGTGCACCAGAAGGATGAGACCCCAGCAGATGCCGCAGAACAGAGGGAAGTGTTTAATGAGGGCCAATGGGGGGACTGACGGCGAGCATGCTCCTGGGACCTCTGGCGCCAGGCCTGACGTGCTGCCAAATCCACCAAGGCTGGGTGTGAGGACAGCACTGGGGGTGGGCCTCTCTGCCACCACCTTCTTACACTTTTTATTTTGGGGGACTCAGGGGCGCTTTACCACTGAACCACATCCCCAGCCCTTTTTATTTTTGTTTTGAGACATGGTCTCCTAAATTGCCAAGGCTGGCCTCGAACTTGCAATCCTGTCTCAGCCTCCCAAGTGCTGGGATGACAGGTGTCCGTCCTGTACCCACCTCTGACTCTGCTGTTTGATTGCTCAGCGCTCTAAGCCCCACACCTGGAAGAGCCGATAAGAACATGTGGGTGCACCCTGTTTGGCGTGGGGGAGATTCATGTGGGTACACGTGGGCCCACCTTCTGGCCACAGCAAACGCCCTGGCCAACCCCTATGCTGACCGCTGGCAAGGCTGGCCCTGCGCTCCCCAGGTTCTCAAGTATGGCCATGACCCGCACTGTCATGCCCCCTGTGAGGGGGACATCCTTCATCTCCACATTTTGGACGGGTTCCACCTGCTCCTGTAGGGGACCATGGATGCCAAACAGACTCGGAGTCCTTTGGAGGAAGGATCAGAAAGCTCAGGTCGGTGGGAAGTGTGAGTGAATTGATGGAGTGAGACCAAGGATGCAGCCCTCACCATGTTCTCTGGAAGGACAGACTGTCTCAGACCCGTGTCCACCGAGGAGCAGTCACCACGGAGGACTCCTGGGGAGCTGGAGGGCGAGGATTCTTCTGTCTGTCTAGCCATGACAGCGGATGACAGCCGGCCTCCATCCTTGCCCTCTGCATCTACACAAAGTGCCCACCAATGGCACAGCCTCCTGGAAGAGGCAGAGGCTCCTCGAGGGCCCACGCAGAGTGGCCGTCCTCTCCTAGAGCTGGTCCAAGCCCTTTAGCACAGCTGAGGAATGCCCGCCGGTCAGAGGCTGGTGCCGCTGGCGAGCCCCACAGAGCAGCGGGCCTTGAGGGAGCGGCTGGGGACTTCAAGGCAGGTTGTGTCCCCGGGCTCCATCCCCTCCCTCAGGAGAGGTCAGCGACTTGGTTACCAAGAGCTGACTCGTCCCTGGGCGTGGATCTGCCTTCCTTTTCTACAGCATCGATGCCATCAGCAGGGAACAAGGCGTGCCAAGTGCCTGGCTTCCCCACAGACTTCCACCTCAGCCGCGCTGGATCGAGACCCCGTCCGTTGTCCCCTGGCAGAGCAGCACAGCGAGCGTGGGCATGGGCTCCATGGGCCCTGCCCCCTGGGCCCCATCCCAAGCTCCTGGATACCAGAACAATGGCATCGAAACTGAAGATCAGTGTGGGCATCAGGGCTGGGCAGTACCCTGTGGAGTCAGGCCAGAGCTCCCCAGGATTTGGGACCTGCACTGGGCCCATGGTGCCACATCCGGGAAGAGCCTGGGGGTGGCAGTGGGACTGACCCTTTTCACTGGCTTGAGAATCTGCCCTCCTCACTCTGTGGCTCTGGCCTGGTGGGTTGGCGACCCTGGTTTTCAGGACAGGGAGGGTCTTCCAGGGAACGCCTCAGAATCCCAAGTCCCAGCCTCCACGGGTGGGTGTCGGCCCCTGGGGCGAGTGTCAGTGGGCAAACAGGAGAACGCGGTTCCTGGTGAGGTGGACCAAGCTCCATCGCCCAGAGGTGCCAGGTGGCTGCTACATTATGTGGGCAGAGAAGGAGCCTGTCTGGAACCTGGGGAGTCCTGGAGGCACGTTTTGCTGTCCCCAGTCCTGGCGGTGACTGAGGCACGTGTGCAGCAAGTGCAGTCTGATCTGATGAGGGCAGGTCACCAGGTCCCCGATCACTTGGTGGATGCAATTGGGTCTCCCCACTGGGGAGGGTGGCTGGCTGGGGGCGGGGAGAAGGGGGTGATGGTCACCCTCCACACCGCCGTGGCCGCCTGGAACTGTGGTTTTCCCACCCGCCACACTAATTCCTCACAGGGGCTGTCTGTCGCTGGCCGCCTCTTGACGGCCTCATTGTGAAGAACCAGCAGCATAGCACAGCCGTCACACCTGCAATGGCCCTTGGGACACTCACCTCTTGGCCTCATCCCTAACCTCAGCTATGGGCTGGGGACAGTCCCCTATGGTGTCAAGCACTAGCTCAATTCACATTCTATTTGGGGCTCAATATAACAGATGGGTGCAGGCGGGGGGGGGGGTGCCCTGGATGGCTGAGGGCCACCCTCCACCAATCCATCCCCAGGAAAGGACAATCTGTGGGACATTTGAACACTTCTTGGTGGCCATGGCATAACTGTACCCCAGTTGCCTATAACTGACCTCAATAATCCACCCGTCATAGCTCCTTTCTTCTGCCCACTCTAACCCCTGTCCTGTCCCTGGGTCACCTCCCAAACTCCCTGCAAAGAACATCCGGGCCTCAGGCCTGCTTTGTGGGGTGACCAAGCTCCTTCCAAACCCTCTTCTGTTTTAATCTCCTTCCAGAGGAGGTGCTTCCCACAACCCGTCACCCCAACTAGAAACCCAGACATGACCTCAGCACCCGCGTGCCCCCAGCGTGCCTTTCTTGCCCTCACTGGGACTGTCCCCCTCCTGCTCGCCCTGACTGCTCCCGGCCAGCATCCTGCAGCTGGTGAGGAACCCAAAAGCAAGTGGCCTCAGGACTCTGCCTCACTGCGTGCCCCACCAACCCGCCTGGGGTTAGAGGGCCAGCGCTGAGCCTGCGTGGACAGGTCTGAGCCCAGGCCCGTGGTGAGGTTCCCAAACACTCTTAGGAGGACAGAGGGAGGGAGCAGCAGCACCCTGAAGCATTTCTGGGCCTCTGGTGACCCACTGCATAGCCAGGGTGGTGGGCACTCACCCAGCAGGGCACCACGGAGCCCCATTCTGTCCCCTCCAGTAATCTTCGCTGTGACAGAGAACTGAGACTGAAGGAGCCGTCCAAGGTCACAGCAGTAACTGTAGAGCTGGGACCTAAATCCACTGTCCTCCAGGGCCAGGGCTCTCTCCCAGGAACAGAGGGCAAGCGCATTAAGAGGATTGAATGCCCACAAATTTTTTTTTAAATTGTCTTTAATAATTTTTTGCCTCATTTACCAGATAAATCATCTAAATAAATAGATGCTATACAGTCTCTTACCAATATCAGTACAAAAATAAAACTGCGCTCTGCACCCGCTCTGACCCTCCCCAGCCGCACCTTCAGGAAGGCGCGCCCTGGGAGCTGATGCCCGGTCCTCGAGTACATTCATGTCGTCTGAACAAAGCTCGAAGCTCATCTGTGCAAAGGACGCGTTCTTGGCTGAGACCTGGCGGCCACATCTGGCCATTTGTAAAGCAAAAGCTACACGGGCTTCCATTCAGATGCCTAGCGCCTTCCCAGAGGAGGCGGCGAGGGACATTGGCAAAGGGGTTACCATCCTGTCAGAATGATAAGGTTCCGTGCCAGGGGTGGGTGGGGCATTCCACCCCGCTCCGTGGCGACAGTAAAGTACCAACAGGCCTCTACATTCAAAAGGGGCTGGGGAGAGGCAGGCGGCCAGTGTTCCCCAGCCCGAGGGTACTGGCCTTCCGGGGAGCTGTGGGGCGGGAGGTCACTGTCCACCTGGTCTTCTTTCACCTGGCCCTAGCTGGGACACTCAGGGCTGGGAGGAGGCCTGTGTGGCCAAACCCAACCCCTCACAGAGGTCACCTGTCCCGGGCTGAAAAAGATCCTAACTGCCTGAGTGGTTCTCCCCAGGGAGCCGGCTCTCAGGGTTCACAGCCTCGCGGCTGCCCTGAGTTGGACATCTCAAGACCATCACTCCAGGTGCCAGGCCTGGACCTCAGCCCTCTGAGCCACAGGGTTCCCAGTGGGCCACAAAGGTCTGAGGAAGAGGAGATGCATGTTCTGCTGCTGCAGACAGAAACACAGCTGCCTCACCCACCAGGAAAAAAAAAAACAAGCAAAAAACCAAAAAAACCCAACCCCCCTCCCCGGGGCCACAGGCTGGCAAACTTGACAGCTTAGGACACCAGGAAGCAGGAAGAGGGCCTGTGTCTCCTGAGGGGGGCGGAGTGTGTCTTCTACTAGGAGCTGTGGCCATGTCCCAGAGCCAGGGTCCAACAGTCGGCTGGAGAGGACCCCTCGCCGTCCCAGCCTCGGGCCTCCACCTCCCGGGCTGGGAGCCCCTGCCCCCAGGCTTCTCCCCTTCTCAGGGTCGTGCAGCTGAAGCCCCTTCCCTTCCCGGGGCCCACCCCACACACTCATCTAGATTCAATTCCCTGGGCTGGGGTGAATCAGGTCACCTATAGGTGACTGTCCCCCAATGGAAGCACTGAATTGATCCCGGGCAACGAGAACTAGAGAGAGGGAGAAGGAGCTGGGAATTGGGAATCTTGCCAACAAAGCATCCCAAAAAGGAAAAGGGTGCCTGCTGTCTTTGGTTTGGGAACTGGGGAGGAGTCTGGGGGAAGAGTCACCCTGCCCTTGTCCTCACAAAGACCTAATGACCTTCTGAGGACAGGCACAGAGTCAGGGGACAGGGCTGAGCTCCCCAGCCACAATGGCTCTACTGTGTTCAGGTTACCCCGACTCTGACCGGGGTGGAAGGGTGGAGGAGCGGACCTGCTCCCTGCTCCCCAGGACCCCTGACTCCATCTGGCCTTCTCTCTGGGACAGGGCTGGGATGAGGGAGCAGGGAAGCCACCAGCCCGCAGGGAACCTTGGGGCAGACCAGAAGCCAAGCATCCCTCCTCCAGGCAGACACAACCTCGCCAGGGCGCTAGGCTTGTGCACAGCCTGAACTACCCTCCCCTGCGGCTGGACCCCCACAGGAAACAAGGCCAGTCCCTGCCGTGCTATTTAGGTCTGGTGGGAGGACACAGAATGAAGTGGGAAGGGGTCCAGGAGACAAGGGCTGCCCTGAGAAAGTGGGACACCCCCGCCCTTCCTGCCTGCCCACACCCACACCATGCCTGGGGTCGGCTGAGCTGGAGGGGAGGGCAGCAAAAGGGGAGTTGGAAGGGCTGAAAAGTCACCTGAGTCAGAAAGGACAAGAATCCCTGTGGGAGGAAGGACAGGTCACAAGTGTCTTGGAGTCTATGCAGATGTGTCAGCACAACTGGGCAGATGCTTGCACACCTGCTGCTTGGCCAGGCACAACCAGGAAGCCACATCTGCATGCCTGCAGCAGCAGATGCCGCCATGCTCGTGGCCAGAACCTTGTTCTCGCTGACAGCTGCGAGCAAATGGAGCTGGAACAGGTCCTGTCGCGTGACCTGTGCAAGATGGGTGGGTTGCCGTGGCGAGTTCTTTTGTGCTGTGAATTGCCCTATGTTCACCTGGCCAGGGTTTCTGAAGGAGGCATGTGAGGCCCACGTGGACACTCAGGGCACATGTGATGGACACAAGGGACAACTTGCACGCTGTGCCGCTGGGTGTGCACATATTTCCACACGAGCCAGGTGATGGGGCAGGATCTCTCAGCAGGGGGAGCCCAGAGGGCAGCCTCCTCCCTGGGAAGGAGGTCTGAGCCATGGCCATGGCTCCTGTCGATGGCTGTGACTCTACCTCAGACCCTCCCTCCAGCGCCTTCTCCCTGACCCGGGCCCTGGGGGTGAGAGCAGCCTCTGAGCCCCACCAAAGCTGGAGGGGAAAGATCAAAACCAACACCCAAGCCCAAAAGAAAGGGGTGGGAGGGCCAGACAACCAGACAGGCTGGGGGCTGCCAGGCAGGGCCCCGCCTCCCAGGGCTCCTTTCCCTCCTGGAACCAGCAGCTGCAAGGCAAGGCAGTCAGCTGCAGAGGCAGCCTGAGCAGGTGGCCCTGTCCCCATCAGCCTGGAGATGGGACCCTAAACAGAGCAACACCAACCTTCCCAACCCAGCCCTAAGGCCTCTCTGCAAACGCCCTTCACAGAGAAGGGCAGGGTGGTGGGAGGTTGTGGGGCCACCCCCACTTCTTCTGCTTGGTGTTTTTTTTAAATAAAATAATTACCCTGCCCCAACCCCTCCCTGTCTCGGGAGTTCCCCACCCCAAGCCCCAAAGGAAACAGCGAAGAAGGGTGGAAACAGTGATTCAGAGCTTCTCGCTGCGGTCTCGGAAGAAGCCCTCTGCTGCCTGGGCCTCTCGAAAGGTGACGGTGACGGAGTTGGCGGTGATGTCTGTCACGGTCACCTCACTTGAGGGAAGCACAGGTGTCCAGGGAGGGGGCCCATCTGCCAGTTCTGCATCTGCTGCAGCCACAGGACAAAGACAGGGACAGAGGACAGGTTGGCAATGGGTGGGCAGCATGCAGACCCCTCCCAACTCCAGGTCCTTCCCATGGGACCTACCACTGGTCCCCCAAGAGGGTACCGTGCCACCCCCCAGTCCCTGGCGGACAGAGTCTTCCATAGTGGGTTGCCAGCTCTGGCCAGGGGTCAGGCTCAAGTCAGTCCCCACAGTCCCGGCTGGCTGGGTGGCCAACCAGGTCCTCGAGGCTTGGGTCAACTGGACCTGGTGGCCTCCAAGGACGCTGCAGATCTGAGGCCCGGGGCAGGGCTGTCTTACCCTCCTCAGGGGGCTGCTCTGTGGGCTCCCACTGGCCGGCGGCCTGCAGGTCATCCGAGGCCGGTGTCTCCTGCAGGGAGAGCTCCCGTCGATGGCTGTGACTCTCCAGGTGGGGCCCGCGGGGCGGGAACTTCTTGCGCGAGAGCCGCAGATACTTGTGGGCCTTGCGGGGCTTGCAGAGCGGGAAGGGCAGGCCGGGCACCAAGGGGCCCTTGTCCACCAGCTCAGGCGCCCCCGCCTTGACCACCCCCTCAGGGCTCCCGCTGCCGAGTGGGCGCGTGAGAGAGAAGCAGAGCTTCTCCTTGCCCTTGGCCTTGTGGGAGCTCCGCAGGTCCATGCTGTAGAGCCGCTGCGGGGGCAAGCCAGGGCGCGGGTCAGCCCCGCCTCCTGACCGCTGCCACCTTTGCCTTCGCTAGAGCCCTGGCCCCTGGCGCCCGCCGCTCCACGCCCCCCACAGCTGGCCAGAGCTGCAGCCTGCCCGGCCCCCTGCCCGGCCCTGTGGGCCCACAGTGCCATCTCATCCATGCGGGGTGCGGTCAGGCCACGGCGTCCTGGTACACAGCAGAGGAGCACAGGGGTGCGGATGAACCGAGGACGAGGACGAGAACCACAGTGGGGGGGCGGCACACGGGGAAAGGAAACACAACTGGGGGAGCATCCATCGCCTACTCCACACCAGGCCTGGGTCCAGCCACCAGAAAAAAATTGTTTTTGAAGTGGCTTCTGAAGCTCAAGTGCTTCAGGAGAATCGCTGCTGCACACCACCCTCAGCTGGAGCAGCCAGCTCCCGGGAGTGGGTTCTTGTGGCAGCTAGGCTGTGGGGACAAACAGCGCAACCTGCCCCCAGCAGAAGGGACAGCATGCTGCCCCTCAGCGCTGTGGGGCCCAGGCCTCTGCCAACCTGCCTCACCAAGGAGCAGGGTGCGGCGGGGGCTTCCTACACCAAAGGCCCGAGTTCCGAGATGGGGGATCTGTCTCCCTGCCTTTGGGGAGAATTTAAGTCTCCAAGAAAGGAAGATACGGGGTCTCCCCCCATCACTCTGGTACAGTACCTTCACCTGTCACCTGTCACCAGAGGCCGAGGGCTCCCAGAACAGCAGGAAGGATGGGGGCGATGGAGTCACAACCCAAGCTGGAGGCGGTGATGACACATGCGGCCTCCACTCAGTCCAATCTCCTAATCCTGTCCCTTGCCCTGGGTGCGGCTGTGGCGGAAGGAAGCAGGGCCAAACCCAGAGGGGCCTGGGAAACTAAAGCGGGAGCTAGTCCCACCACAGCCCTGGGAGCCCCCCTACTGTCAGCAAGGCAGGCTCTTTCAGTGCAATGCCACCTCTCCATGCGAGAATAGGGGGCTCCAGGCCAGAGCTTGGTTCTCACCTGCTGTGTGACTCCAGGTCAACCACAGGCCTCCCTGAGCCTCAGCTACTTCAACAGCAAAGCAGTGAGGAGACCTCAGTGGACAGCCTCTGACAATACCTGCTTCCCACCTTCATGCCATCGGTGGTCCCTTCTCACAAGAAACACTGCTGCGTGTGACTTCCTGGGCCTGGTCACAAAGACACAGTGACTTCTTCCTTGCTCTTGGATCAGCCACGTGGGGAAGCGAGTGGCGGTACCGTGAGGGCACTCACACTGCCCGGCAGGGCCTCATGGCAGGAGCTGCTCTAGAACGACTGGCACGGATCCTGGGCCTGGAGCAGCCCCAGCCCAGCCCAGGCATCTGACCTGATCCCCTGACTACCCCAATCAGGACCACTAAAGAACCAGCTAAAGTGCTCCCAAATTCCTGATCCACTGAAACTATGTGATGATGAATTCAGTGGTTTAAGTTGCTAAGTTGGGGTGATTTGTTATAGATTTGCCATGGATAACTAATACACCTACCCGGCAGGTTTGGCACGCAGAGGAAATGTGGCCATTTGCGAAGCACCAGACACACCGCCCCACATGCAGTTCTCTGGCAAATGTGACTTTCCATCCTGGGACCCAATTCACATCAAACACCATGGATCACCCCCCACAGGAAGGAGGCTGTCACTCGCCAAGAAAACCCCAGGTGATCCATAACCGCCGCACTGCACTCGGACCAGGGAGCCTTATGCTTTGATTCAGACACAGGGGTGGGGGTGGCGGGCGCTTGTGAAATTAAAGCAGGTGTTTTCATGCTCACAGCGAGAACCCAGCACTGAGAACCTCAGCAGCTTGCCCAGAACACACAGCTGCACCTCAAGCCCCATTTGCTTTTCATGCTCCCAGACCTAAGATGTAGGTGTCCAGGGTATCAGAGCCCCGCCTCTCAGAGACTCAAAAGGAGTCCCCAGGGGTTTCTTCCTACTCAAGAAGGACACCTTTCTAGGAGCTGGTGCTCCACAGCTGGTCCACACACGAAGGGCCTCTCCTTCCCGGGTTCTGGAAGTCCAGCCTCCATGTCCCCTAACTGCCAGAGTCTGTGTTTCTGAGGCTCTTAAATATTACAATTTTGTGTTTGGGGATTTTGAGCATTATAGCCTTATTTATGAGATTCTAAGCTTTCAAAAATCCTAGGACTAAGATCAGCGCGGTGGCGCACGCCTATAATCCCAGCAGTTTGGGAGGCTGAGGCAGGAGGATCTTGAGTTTAAAGCCAGCCTCAGCAAAAACAAGGGACCTTAGTACCTTGCCTACAACTCAGTGAGACCCTGTCTCTAAATAAAATACAAAATAGGGCTGGGGATGTGGCTCAGTGGTCGAGTGCCCCTAAATTCAATCCCAAGTATCCCTCCAAAAAAAAATCCTAGGCCTGTATTAGCCATGTGCCCCTCCTCCCACAAAGGCTCCCCCGATGGGGGTCATCTTTCCTCAGTTCCTGCTCCATGTTTGGGCTTTTCCCCTTCCGTGGAAAATTACCCACTGAGTGTCCCACCCCACAGTGCCCAGGTGGTGCCAGGGGCGGGCAAGTGAACCAGTTCAACCAGCCAATGTAGATGCACTCAGGGGGGTGAGGGGAGACAGGGGCCTGGGTGGGGCAGGGGAGGAGGAGGCCCGCGGTAGCCGGGTTACCTGCAGCAGAAGCCGCTTGGGTTTCGGGCCTCTCTTCCTATACCCCGACGCTCGGTCTCTCTCCTCCCTAGATGCAAGGCAAGTGGCAGAAGAAAAGGAAACACTGGTGACATCTAAGGGAAAGGAAGTTGTCTGCTTCACCCCCTCCTCTGTCTGTCGGGATGGAGACCCCCCCAGCATCCCGCAATCCTCCAAGGCTCTCCTGGGGCCATAACAATGGTCAGGTGTCCACTTTCCAGGGCTTGGACTTCTCATCCAATAATGAGAAGGGGACTGTTTGTCACTGATGTGAGGCTCTCCAAACACATGTGAGTCTTCCCTGAGCTCCAGGACCAGCGCAAATGCCCTGCTGTGCATGCGGTGGGGACCTCCAAGATGCAGTTGTCGCTCTTAGAGGAGCTGCGTAGAAACCTGCCAACCCAATGTGCCTTGAATGTCCTTGGGGGGCTGGGGAGAGTGGCGAGTCCTGCCTGCTGGCCTGACTTGAGATCCTTAGGAACCTGAACTGAGGAAGGCTGCACCATCTCATCAGGGTGGGGAGGAAACCCAGCTGTAGGGTGTCTGCCGATGGCTCTCACGGTGCCCCCCCCAGGCACAGCCTGAGGTGCTACAAAGCCACACTCTCTCACACACACACACACACACACACACACACACACACGAGACAACACGACCAGAGGCTGTAAACCACGGGGCCAAAGTAGGCAGCTCCAGGCCTCTGCCTCCTGGTCACTGGTTCAACTCACTTCCTGTGACCCCCACTATGGAGGCCAGGAAGACAGCAGAGAATGTGGGGGTGGAGTCAACAGCCCCACACCCGCCCCTGCCTGGCTGGATGGCCTGGGCCAGTCTCAGTATGAGCTCAGCATAAAGCAGGGAATCCATGGCCTCTGTTTAAATGCCGGTCACCCTCCAGGCAGAACCTGACATCCTCTGGACACGGGTTTCGGGACAGCCAAGAAAGGCACTTTGCAGTCCCACCCGGGCCTTCACCCCACCATGGCTCGCCTGGCCACACGCCAAGGTGGTCCACAGCATTCTCCCAAGTGGCACACCCTGTTGGACTAAGGCCCCTCCAAGCACCCCGGAGGAAGAAAGAAGCTGGGGACGGGACACCCTGGGTTTTAAAGGAAAGAACAATAAAAGCGCGTCCTTGATTCAGCAGCCATGGAGACTGTGGGAGAAGCACTGAGCGCAGTGAGGAGCTGCCGCCTGCCCCGTGGCCTCGTGCCAGTCTCCGGCCGGGGGCCCAGGACAACCGAAACTCCTCAGAGGCTCAGCCTCCTCATCTGCCACACGAGCCCCTGGTCCCTGTCTCAGGAGGCTGCTGTAAGGGACCACATAAAAAGGATACAGAGACAAGGCCCATACTGCACGGGCCATGCTGGGAGAACTGAGGCTGCCCACCGTGGGCAGGGCTGCTGGGCGCAAGGGCCAGATGGCACGCGGAAACCCCGCAGTAGCTGGCAGAAGAGGGGACCCACTTTACCCTGGGACGCTCTGCTGGGAGCTGGCCAGGAGAAGGGGCCAGAGCTCAGAAGGTCACGCCTCCTCTGGGCTCAGGTGACCTCATCAGACTTCCCTCAGTGGAAGGACAAGCCACTGACATGCCACTCACACGCCTGGCACCTTGGGAGCCACCCCTGTCTGCCTCCCCTGAACACAACTGAAGCCTCTGGCTGGAGCTCCGGGTGCCAGAGCCAAGAGATGATGGCCGGGCAGCTAGAGGAAGTGGCAGGCAGAAAAGGAAGGGGACCCGGAGTTCTCTGTGCCCACCACCTTCCAACGCCTGGTCAGACACCCCGGTCCTGCCCCCAGCGGCCCCCTGCTCAGGGCCACGCCTGCAGCGGGACCCCTAGGAAACCTGGAAGCGGGCCCAGCAGCCGCAGGCCCTTACTTCTCCTCGTAGGCCAGGACCAGGCGGGGGTCCAGGATGTGCTCCTCCGGCTCCCACGTGCTGTACCTGAGAAGAGAAGTAACAGATGAGAGCTGTCCTGTCTCTGCCTGGCCCCACAGAGGCCACATCACTGTCCCAGGGCCCTCCCTCACCAAGCCTCCAGCCCTTCCTGGTAAGGGGGGGCCGCCACGCACTCCCAGGGGCTGACCTGTTTGGGCCCCAATGACACCAGAACTCCCCTCCCTCCTGCCTCACCACAATCTGAGTGGGTCCTACTCTGGAAGGACCCCCACATTCACCCAAGGCCCTTGATGCCTGGAAGACAGCAGGTCCCTGGGTGTCCCAGGAAACTGGGGGACACTCTTACTATGACAGCGTGGGGGCTCTGGAGCCACCTGGCCAGGGTTCAAGTTCCAGTTCGGCCACAGCTAGTTGGGCAGTCCTGAGCCATTTACTCAACAGCTCTGTGCCTCAGCGTCCCCCTCTGTAAAGGGCTCTTGTGCTGATAAAATATTCTACTTCAGTGTCCAGAGCCAGTAGCAGGTGGGGAGCACTCTGCGGGTGTCTCCCAGTGTTTACCAGCACCACGGGTTCCTCCCCAGCCTTCCAGCCCAGCCTGCAGGGGGCACTGCTCCTTCCTGCCTCGGGCACCTGAGCCATGGAGACCAGGCCTTCACATAAGTGCCCTAGTCTCTGGGCCTGGCACCCCACAGGTATCTGTAAGTATCTATAACTCTGGTACGGTGCCCCCACAGTTGACCTCAGCACCCCCAAGGGCCGAGGGACAGAGAGGTGACAGCACCGCCCTCCAGAGCTCTGCCCTGATCAGGCCTGGCTGGGGACAATGCCACAGGTGCCTTCCACCTTCTTTTAACTACTCAGCACCAGCCTCCTGCAGTGCAGCCTTTTTGTTTAAATAATTTCATTTTAAAAGCAAACTTTTATGACTTCCATAATGGAAAAACCAGTATCACTCATCATAAAGAGATGTAAGTATAAAACAGTTTTTAGGGTGGGGGTGTGCTCAGTGTATACCACTTGCCTAGCATGCGTGAAGGCACTGGGTTCCATCCTCAGTACCGCATATGAATGAATGAATGAATAAATAAATAAAATTTAAAAATATGTATATGTATGAGCCACATGTGGAGTCACATGCCTGTAATCTGAGCAATAGGAGGCTGAGGCAGGAGGATCACAAGTATCAGGTCAGCCTGGGCAACTTAGTAAGACTGTTCTGGGGCTAAAGTTGTGCTCAGTGGTAGAGCACTTGCCCAGCAGGTGTGAGGCATTGGGTTTCATCCTCAGCACAACATAAAAATAAATAAATAAAATAAATGTGTTTTGTCATCTACAACTAAAAATATTAAAAAAAAAAAAAAACTGTCTCAAAAATGTATTTTTTTTTAAATGGGCTGGGACTATAGCTTGAAGGTAGAGTGCCTCCTGGCTCCAATCTCCAGTACTACAAAAAGGTCTGTACACATGAGTGCATATAAAGTCCCTATGTAAAATACCTGTGTATCTAAGTATACAAAGGTAAAGCTTTGTCCTGCTGCAGCCACAGGACAAAGACAGGGACAGAGGACAGGTTGGCAATGGGTGGGCTGCATGCAGACCCCTCCCAACTCCAGGTCCTTCCCATGGGACCTACCACTGGTCCCCCAAGAGGGTGCCGTGTCCCCCCCCAACAAATGTGCCTAAACCAAAACAAAGCAAAGTTCCACGATCTTGGCAAGAGGCCTTGCTGGGTGAGAAGGCAAGTAACTGGGGAGCTTCCGGAGGCAGAAGAGGCAGGCAGAGCCCCTGCAACTGCAACCTCCCGGGGCACCTATCAGGATACTTATTTACTTTTCTTCTTTATTTGTTCTAATCTCAGGATATTTAACAGTAGACCAGGGTTGGGCAGCAAGACATCCCAAGACAGAAAGCACTCCTCCTCCTTCCACTCATCTTCCCTCCCACGTACTCCACCATCAGGCCTGGTGCAGCCTGGCCTGGCTTCTGTCATCTGTGCTGTGCCCCATCTCTGGATGCTCCGTACCTGCAGTGAGCCAAGCCAAGCTTCCCAGGCTTTACGGAATGGCCCTCCTCCCAGCAGGCCCAAGCCCAGCACCTGGCCTGGGAGTGGCTATGGAGGCCCCATACAGTTCTGTTTGTCCTGCAGGAAGCCCAACGACCCAAAGGCTGATGCAGACTGTGCCCTCCTCCCCCCATGAAAGGTTGGCTCTCTCAATGAATCTAGTAAGGAGGGGGATCCTGGTTCCTCCTGGGTAGGCGGGACTCACCCTCTCTCTAACTGCTGCCCTTCCTCTTTACCCAGCCCACCTGCCGTGGCAGGTTCATTCTTGCTGATGTAGCTGCTGTGTGATTGCTGGTAAGTCCCTACCCTTCTCTTGACCTCAATTTCCTCATCTTAAAGAAAAACCACCCCCACCCCCTCAGTGACAGCTGGTGCACCAACAAGCGCCAGGAACTTGTCCCTTCTTCACAGAAGAAGAACTTGTCTCTGAGGAGGTAGGTTCTTACAATACCCCATTTTGCAGATGAAGAAATGAGACACAGAAGTTAAGCAGCTTGCGGGGGATCAAGAGCGGGTGAGTGGCCAGTCTGTGCTTGGAACTCAGTTCCACTCCCAGTCGCCCTCTACCTTAGGATGCCTCACAGAACACCATGTCTGGCTCCTCACTGGCTGACATCCCTGATAGAGTAGCACTGCCTGTCTGACCCTGGTCCTCGGTGTCTGACCAGGGCCTGGCACACTGGTGCACAGGACAGGGCGGCCAGATTGAGAGCAGGATGCTTTCTGGTGTGGGTGGGCCGTGGCAGCCGTCAGGTGCCCCTCCGGGCTTGCGGCTGGATGGGGCAGGCCTTCAGAGGCACCTGGGCCCCTTGGCCCCCTGGCCCTCGGCCCCAGCGGAGCGCCCTGCGCACTAGGGGAGCCAGGAGGCCGCAGGGTGGGCACGAGCTTGGATGACAGGCGAGCCCAGGTAGGCTGGGCGCCAGCGCGCGGCCAGCCCGGGACATCCTCAGGGCCGCGGGTCTGCGACCATTGGCAGCGCCGGCTGCCGGGAGCGAGCGCCCCGCGCCGGCGGGACAGCGAAGGGGAGGGACGTGGGGCGCCCCTCCCCTCGCAGCAGGGCCGCGCGCACGCACGGTCACCCTGCCAACCAAGGCGGGCGGGGGCGGGGACGGCGCAGCGGCTCCGAGATAAACACGGCCACGTGACCCCGCCCCGCCCCCAGCCCCGGTAAACAAGCCGCCGCCGCGCCCGCCGCTCGAGTAAGCTCCATCCTTCGGCGGTACAGGCTCCTCCGGGTAGAGGGGGCGTCAGCGAGGGAGGTTGCCCCAAGTCCCAGCAAGCCTCACCCGTACGTGGAGGCGGCGCTGCCGAGCTGTGGCGCAGCTTGGGGCCGGGGCGAGCCACCCCAGGTGCCCTGCAGAGCCAGGCCAGTAGCAGCGCCCCTCTAACTGTCCCGAGTGAGAAGCCCCGGTGCAAACTGCCGGGTCCCGCCTTGGGGGCAGGTGACTTGGTCTGACTTGGTCTGACTTCCATCCCTCTGGGGCCTCATCCTAAAGTGGGGCTCTCAATAAATAATCCCTTCGCTTAGGGCTGTGAAGATTAGCTGTGTTAAGCCACATAACGCACTTAGATGAGTGTGGAACACGATAAGTGCAAATAAGCAGTAATGAAATCAATTTCAAAAAACCTAGAGGGCCCAAGTCTGCCAGGGTGGGAACCCAGGGCTCTGCTGCTGCTGCCCAACCCCAGCTGTGGAAGAGGAATACCTCTTACTCTGTGGCTAGAAGCCATTAGTGATTGTCTTGGTCTTCAGCAGGGGCCTTATTCTACAGATGGGGAAATGGAAGCACAGAGAGATTGAGGGTTTTACCCTGGGTCACACAGCTGGTGAAACTACACAAACTACTATTTTTCTAAGGTAAATGGTCTGGCCCCAAAGCCTGAGCACATCCCATTGAACTGGCCAAAAGGCCAACAGACAAGAGAGACTCCTGGCTTGGTCACCTTGGGTGGAGCTGGCTGTGTCTTACAGCGGGTGGGTCCACAAGCCTTGGAATCCAGCAGCCTGAAATTCAAATTTTCCCAGCTGACTCTGCAACAGCTCTTTGCCGGGGCTTCTGTCTCTCCATCTATGAAATGCAGTACTCTAGGGCAACTGATGGGCCAATGTCTGGCTCCTAATGGGAGTTTTTTGATTGGCAGTTTGGTGACTGCTGTACTCACTGATGTTACTATTTAAGTTCCACGGAGCCAGGCCTTCCTAAAAGATATGGTAGCATTCACAAGTGGGAAAGAAAGGAAAGTATCTAGTATGTGGGGGTAGCAGGGTACTGGGAAGGATGAAATGAGAGTGGAGTACCTAGGGGGTCTCCAGGGTGCAGAGACCACCATAAACCTCCCAAAGGGCATGAGTTATTTGACATCCTCTGCCCTCTACTCCCAACCCCTCCCTGTGCCATTTTGTTGCATAAGAAGCAGGAGCCCTGCACAGTGGTGTGGCGCACACCTGTAATCCCAGCAATTTAGGAGGCTGAAGCAGGAGGATTGCAAATTCAAAGCCCGCCTCAACAACTTAGCCTTAGCCTAAGTGACTCAGTGATACCCTGATTCAAAATAATATTAACAAAAGGGTTGGGGATGTAGCTTAGTGGTAAAGTGCCCTGAGTCAATCTCTGATACCCAAAACAAAACAAGCCAAAAAAGCAGCAGCAGCAAGAGAGCCCCTCTGACATATCTGCTGGGGAAGGGGACACTCATTGTCCTGCTCCTGGGGACCAAAAAAGGCATAGAAAGCTCCAATGGAGCCTGGCTCGGAGTGAGTACAGTTTGGGCTGGGTATGGTGGCCCATGCCTGTAAACCTAGCAACATGGGAGGTTGAGGCAGGAGGACTGAAGTTCAAGGTAAGCCTGGGCATCTTAGTGAGACCCTCTCTCAGAAACTAAAAGGGCCGGGATGTAGCTCAGTGGGAGAGCACCCTTGGGTTCAACTCCCAGTACCACAAAATCAATTAGAGTTTGCTTATGGTTAATTGTAATTAACAGAAGTCTTCTTGCCCAGAGTGAGGACAGTGGCCACCAAGCAGGAGGACCTGAACCACACACCCCCGCCTGCCCAAGGCTGGCACTGTCCAGCCAAGGCTCCTGCCCAGGGGAATAGTCTGCCAGCTCCATCCCACCACCTTTCTTAGTCTCTGTTGCACGCACCCTCCCCCCAGGAAGGGAGACCCCTGCTCTCCTGCCTCTACCCTGATTGAGCCGCTTCCTTCTCCCAAGTGAGGTGGGGATGGCTGGCAGTACCTGCCTCGCGCAGGTGGCACCAGTGATGGTGGTAAGTGGGTAGCACACTGACCTCCCCTCTCTGGGCCTCAGTATCCTTATCTGAAAAATGAGCTCTTGTTAGAATGGAATCCCCTAGTTCGTTTCCTAGGTGGGGCACCTTCCAAGCTACCCACCTAACTCTGTACCAGCTGCAGACATCCCCACTAAAAGCGGGTTGAGCCTGGCACCCCGCAGTTTTTGCCCTTTGTCGATCCTCCTAACAACCCACCCAAAGGATGGTTTATGGCTCCAATGTGAAGACCAGAAAGCAGACGCCCTGCCCTACTAGGACCTGCCCAAGGGCTCACAACTGTCCACTGTGCAACCAGGAATCCAGTACCAAGGAGAGGGGACAGGCATAAGGCATCCCCTGGGTCACCTGGTCAAATAGGGCTTCCTGAGCTCCACTGGGGTCACAAGAGGGCCCACGTGATGTCTCAGAACATTAAGAAAAAAGTGGGCCAGGGACATAGGCCCACAGAAACAGCCAGGGCCTCTGCTCTCTGGCTAGCTCCCTCCTCCTGACTGAAGCTCTGAGGGACGGGCAGATGTATTGGTCTTTAGGATAGATCGATGAAAGTGGGAGAGAAGGAACTTTTCATTAATAGGGGGTCTCCGATTAGAGAAGGAAATCTATCAAAAGCTGTAGTCAGGAGGACAAACAGCAAAGAGTGTCTGGAAGGCCAAAAAGCCAGAAAGCCCCGCCCACTGCCATTCCTGAGAGCTGGGGGAGGGAGGAAGGGCTGAAGAGCCCCTCCACCCGTTCCAGAATCCACCTGTGGCCAGTGGGGGAGGGGGTCCTCCCAAAGCTCCAGGCTTATTTGGAAGGAAGGACTGAGGAGTGTATTATCTACCTGCTGGTCACCAGCTGTCATCAGGATGCTGTGGTGGCTCTGAACTCGTGCCCAGTCCTTTCCCCTTACAAGGCAGAGCTGCCGGCGAGAGGACTATTGAGCCCATTTCACACAGAGGGAAGCTGAGGCCCGCGGGGCTGTCTCCCCCTCTGAGGCCTCCCACCTCCCTCCCAGAAAGCCTGCAGGTCCAAACACCACGTCGGCACGCCCCCCCTTTCTACACACACCAGGTGAGCCGGAAGTCCCAGGTGCGGACAGCAGGGGGGAGAGGGGGTTTCCAGGAGTCCGTCTGCAGGAGGCAGGCCGAGGGCGGGGCACCCACAGACCAATGTGAGGCCCCACGGCTTGCTCTTCCCTCCCCCAACAGTTCCCTGCTGGAAGGTGATTGGTTGGTGGGCGGGCTCCTGATTGGGCTTCAGCAGGAGAGGCGGAGCACACGGGGGAGGTCTTAGGCCCAGCTCTCCGACCCCCGACTGTGGGATGGGAGGGTTGGGGCAGCAAGGAAACTGACCTGAAAATGGGGAGGACTGTTCAAGTCCCAACTGTGCCTCTACTTGCTGTGTGACCTTTTCTGAGCCAGTTGCTCATCTTGAGCGCTCAGGATCACACCCACCTCCCAGAGCTGTCTGGGGATCTACTCTGGAGACTGGAAAGTGCCACCCAAAGGCAAGGTGGCCCCAGGCTCCATCCTTCCCTAGTGGCTTACCCAGCAGTAGACCTGCTGAGCTTGGGCCCCTTCGCCTGGTTATCAGCCATCTCGGAAGCAAAGATGCCGGGTCTTCACTCCCAGTTACCAGGAGAAGCCCAGCACTGAGAGGGCAGCACCACAGGAGCTAAACCCCCACCTCGGGCGCCTGTGCTCCAACCCCTGAAGGCAGCGGTGGAGGGGAAACTGATGACTTAGTCAGGGTCAGCTGCCCAGTCACGAAGGCAGCCTGGGCTAAAAGCTAGGCAGGGGAGGGGGCACAAAGGGCGGAGGGATGGACAGGTACACACACACGAAGGAGCCTTACTTTGGGGGCCATCCTTTCCACTTCACCAGATATTCCACTTTGCCCTGGGAAGAGAGAGAAACAGGAATAGTGAGACAAACGCTTGCCCCAACCTGTCAGGACAGGGAAGTCTCAAATGGCTTTGGAAAGGATCTTGGTCCCAGATACCCTCTGCAAACAGCTGCGCTTTGACACACAAATACAACCCGGGGACCCTCCACTAGATCCCTACCAACCCAGAGACCCCCAAATGCCCCTGGCGCCAAAGCTCAGAGCTCTTGTCACACATGGGGCCATGCATGTATGGCCAGAGATCCACAGTGGCCAGAATCTCAGCGTCAAATTCATGACTACTGGAAGACTTTCCCAATGGCTCTGGCCCTATCAGCGGAGTCTGTGCAAGAAGGACCCTTACATCAAAAGACCCTAGCAGGACCCCAGAGAAGGCTGACACACTCTCCACCTTCAGCAAGGCAGTAGATCCTTCCAATTATTAGGAAATAGAGCCAGTTCCTCCTCCCTTCTTCACAAGGGACAGGGACTTTTATAAGTGAGCAGTCCAAGCACATTGACTGGGCAAAGCTCCTCTCAACCACAACTTTAAGACCAAGATATGGCACCTCCTCAAAGAGGCCTTCCCTGGCCACCCTCCTGTCACTGTCCTCCCTAGCACCTGGCAGTCCTTCAGCAGAGCACACAGCCCATCCACAGGCATCTGTACTTATTTCCTCATTCATCACTGAGCCGCATCCCCTCTGCCAGAACACTGGAGGTGTCCCTGGGGCTAAGGATGGTGCCTGGAATAGATCTCCAGGGAATGTTTTCAGAGGCTGGCTGACACAGAGGTCCCCATTCCCTCATAACCCCTTCCACTGCCCCCCCCACCAGGTAGAATGGTGTGATGGTTGTACCTGCCTCTGGAAAGCACTGGGCTTTGTAGAATAAATTAATCCTCTTTTAAACCCAGGAAAACCTGGGGGAAGGGAAAGAAAGAAGGAGAGGCAGCCCCATTCAGAAGCAAGCTAAACAAACCCCAAGCCCAGTTGGGGAGAGAAAAGAAGTTGACCTTTGGCTCAAGATGCAAGGACTGAGTTTTCATCATGGGAAAAAAATGGGCTTGCAAGCAACCACCAGAGCTGCTGCTCCACCTCTTCTCTAACTTGCTGTGGGTCTTTGAGCAAGTCACTTTCCCTGCCTAGGGGGAGGAGAACACCAGGAGCCTCCCAAAGGGCATGAGTAAGGAGATGAGAGAAAAGGACAGGGGGGAGTACCAGGAGAGGAACTTTTCCCTATGTAAGCCCCCAGCCCAACCTCCAGTCCCCCTTAGGCAAACGTGCACTGGAAGTGCAGACTCTGGGCCAGGAAAATCAAATTGGTACAAGGTGCGGGGTCCTGAGCAGCATGGACGCCTCTTTAAATTGCAGGGTGTGTGTTTTGAAGGCGTAGGCAGATGGGGAGGAGCTTCCAGGATGCCCCAACGCCGGCGGCGGCTTCAGAGCCCGGGCGGGGCTGGAAGCTGGGGACCCGGGTGGTGTGGGGGCTGGGAAAGAGGGGTGTGCACTATGGGATAAGGATAGGAAAAGGTCAAAGTCCAGCAGGAAAACTTCCATAGGCTAGAGGACACTTTTTCAAAGCTCCGCCTCCAGCTTCAAGGGACTTGTTACTAAGAGTCCACAGTGCCGAGTTCGAGACCCAGCTCTGACACTAACGCACCGGGCAAGTCAACCTGGGCCTGCCTCCCCATATTTAAAATGAAAAGGAGATGAGGCAGGACGGCACTCGGAATTCCTATCCTACCCGATCCTCGTCGCAGCTGAGGTGGACTCAGCTGCCCCCAGCAACTTGCGCCAACAACTTTGATTCTACTCGCCCCACACGGTGGCAGGGAAACTGAGGCACCGGCGGGGGAGAGAGGCCCGGCGGCGCAGAGCTGCCTGACCTCCCCCCAGCCCCACGTTCCCCTAGCTCCAGCCTGAAGGGGGTGGTGCTGGGGACCCGAGGCGACTTCTGGGGTCCTGGGGCCGCCCCCGGGCAGCCTCACCTTCCGCACGCGCTTCTTCCGGATGCTCTCCACCGCGAACACCTGCTCACCGATGGCTGACAGCTCCATGTGGGGCGGCGGGCGAGCGGGCCCGGGGCCGGGCCGGGGGCGGAGCTGCGGGACCGCGGCTGCTGCGCGCGATGCTCGGGCCGCCGGGGTCCCCGTCACCCTCGGCGGGGCGCGCACGCGCACGCGCACGCGCGCACACCCCCTCGCGCTCTCTCACGCCGCCGACGTTCCATTTTTGAACCTGCGCAACGTTTTCCTCCGCGCCAGCAGGCGAGCGCGCGCGGGGAGGGGGCGGGGCGGGAGCGCGCGGGCCTGCGGGCCGCGGGGCTCAACTCGCGCCCTGCGGGTCAGCTCCGCCCCTGGCCTCCGGAGCCCCGCCCCGGAGGAGCCCCGTGCCCCGCCCTGGCCCCGCCCCGAGCCCCGCGGAACGGAGCGCTGTGGCCGGGAGCAGCTTGCAGATTCCCGGCGTGGCGTGGCGGGACTTCTGTGCTGCTGCGCCGTCGGTGCATCTTTAACACCGAGCTGCGAGGCCCAAGGTCTTCCCGATGATTCTGTGGGGCCGAAATGGCCCGGCCCGGCCTGGGCAGAAAGGATAGGGGTGCAGGGCGGGGAGGTCAGCTTTCCCACTCCCACGACGGGGGAGCCTCCGTCCGGCACCGACCCTAGTGCCGCAGGAGTGCGGACCGCACGAGTTTCCCACGCCGTCCGGGCGCCGCAGAACCCAGCTCTCAACTCCCGACTCCGGGGCGGCGTGGCCCGCAGGTCCTAAGCAGGTTCCTCCGCGTGCGACCTTGCGCTGGCCCACCCTACTATTTGCGCCGCTAACTTGCGGGCGCAGCACGAGGCGAGACAACAGCTCGTGGCGGGTGAGGCCGCAGGGAAGATAAGGTACACACTGGGACCTGCCACACTGCGCAGCTCTTGCGATGAATGAATATGTGGTCCAGGACGAACTCACCCCCGACCCATCCCTACCTGTGCTCAAAGACACCCCCATTCATCTTCGCCAAGAACCCGCGATCGTCCTTGCCCCTCTGGTTCTTTCTCATCCCGGCGTCGAGCCCAGGTCCTGCCTCTGACCTCCTTGCGGTGACTCAGAGCTGCACCTCCCTCACCTCCACACCCACTGCCCAGGTTCTCAGCAACGCCTCACCCAGCCGCCGTCCCCTTGGGTCTAAGAGAGCACTCTCCAAAATATGCAGACCTGGTCGGGTCCCCCAGCGCTCAGAAACTTCCCATAGCTCCCCATTCCCTTCGAACACCTGTGCCAGGCACAGAGAAATAGGTTTACATCTGACTTCATCAAGAGCAGCAAAGGGCAGTAAAATGATGTGTCCAATGTCGGGAAAGAAAGCAACCTTCATCCTGGAATTTTATCTCCGGTGAAAATATGGTTCAAGAATTACGTAGGAGGCCCGTAGGGAGGAATAGAAGACTTTGGATTAGACAAAGGGAAATGAAGGGAAGAGGGGGTTGGGAATAGCAAAGACAGTAGAATGAATCCGGCGTAACTTTCCTATTTCATGTAAATGAACACACGATCAGTTTAACTTGCACAACCACAGGAATGGAAAATTCTACTCCGTGTATGTGTAATACGTCGAAATACACTCTAGTGCCATGTATAACCAAAAAGAACAAATATATTTTTAAAAATTATGTACCCAAAGAACGAGGGTGAAGTAGTGACACAAATACAAACGCTAAGAATTCACCCCTCCCTAAGGGAAATTCCAGCGGAGGAACTTCAAAAGCAGAGGAAGATGGCCAGACAGAAGTTCTGGTGCAATACGGAAAGAAAGAACAATGAAGAACATTGATAATGGGAGACAGTAACAATGTCTTCCGGGTAAAAATAGAATTTAAGTCCAAAACAACAGTGGCTTGTAACTCTGGTGAGTGGAGCTAGAATGTTCTAAGATCCATATATTCCTCGGGAGGAAGGGGAGCAATAATGAGTTAAGAATCAAAGTTGGAAATAGAGTAAGATTTACCCAATGAGAGGGGGAAAAACAGAACGAGAAAACCAACCAATTTCAAGGCAGGCAAGAACAGAGAAGGAAAAAACAAACAAACAAAACAACAACAACAACAAAAAAAAATTGGAGGGACAAATATAAATTCAGATGTCCTAGAATTCAACAATACAAATTAACTAAATGTTGTGGTTTAAATACACAGATTGTCACATTGCATAAAATCCGGCTAGATGCAATTTGTAACAAACATCTGCAAGAGATAATTTCCTAAACTCAAGGATGCTGTGTGGTTGCAACTAAGTAAATGATGGGGAAATATCTTACCAATGCTAACGAAAAGAAGGCTGGTGCCATTATTTTAATAACAGGGGAAAAGCCTCATTTGGGACAAAGTCAGTTCATAATGAAAAGGGTCTAACTCAACAGGAGATTAGAACATTTCCAATTTGCATGCAAGCACCATGGTCTTAAAATACAAGAAATAATAAATGAAGCGATCCACAGGAGGAAACAGACAAATCCACAATTATAAGGGAACATTTAAAAATACTCTGTAATAAATAGAACAAGCAGAAAAACATTTAGTAAGACACAGAAGATTTGAACAACATGATGAAAAAACGTGACTAATGGACTTTTCTAGAATACACTTTTTATAGTGACAATGTAGTCGTCTTTCCAAGACAAGATACTTACCAAAACGGGTCATCTCAAGAAATTCCAAGAGCCTGAAATCATATAAAGAATCATACAAAGTATATTCTCTGACCATAACATATATAAACCAGAGATTAATAACAAAAAATAGGGGCTGCGGTTGTGGCTCAGCGGTAGAGAGCTGGCCTAGCAGGTATGAAGCACTGGGTTCGATCCTCAGCACTACATAAAAATAAATAAAATAAAGGTATTGTGTCCAACTACAACTAAAAAAAAATTAGAAACAATTAGCAAAAAATAATTCAAAAGCCCCTTATGTTTGGAAATTAAGAAGTAAATTTCAAGGACTGGGGACGAGGCTTAGTGGTAGAGCACTTGCCTGGCATGTGTGAGGCACAGGGTTCGATTCTCAGCACCACATATAAATAAATAAAGATCCATTGACAACTAAAAAATATTTAAAAAAAAAAGAAATAAATTTCAAAATAACTGATAAATCCAAAAAAGTAAAGCAAAATGTAAATTATATCAAAGGAGACTGAAAATACTACATATTAAAAATCATGGGCTAGCTGGTCTCAGTGGCTCACACCTGTAATCCCAGTAGCTTCGGAGGATGAAGAAGGAGGATGGCAAATTCAAAGTTTGAGGCCAGACTGGGCGACTCAAGGAGACTCTCAGCAATTTAGCAGGACCTTGACTCAAACAAAACACCCTAAGGAAAATATTAGTAAACCAAGTCTGGCTGTATATAAAAATGATAACACATCATGATAAGATGGGGTCTAGTCCAAAAATGCAAGGTTGGTTTAAGATTTGAAAATCAATGTAATTCAGCACATTAAAAGCTGAGAGGAGGGGGCTGGGGATGTGGCTCAAGTGGTAGCGTGCTCACCTGGCATGCGCAGGGCGCTGGGTTCGATCCTCAGCACCACATAAAAATAAAAATAAAGATGTTGTGTCCACCGAAAACTAAAAAATAAATATTAAAAAAATTTCTCTCTCTCTCTCTCTCTCTCTCTCTCTCCCTGCCACCCCTACCACAGAGCATTTGAAATGTGATTAGACCCAGTGAGAGGCAAAATCAAGCACCCATCAGATTTGAAAGACTTCCTACAAATAAAACCCATTGTGAAATGTCTCTTTGATAATTTTATATTTATACTGATTGCATGTTGAAATATTTTTGATACTCGAGGTTAAATAAAACATATTTTAAAAATTAATTTCACCTGTTCCTTTAAAAACTTTAATGTAGCTGTTAGAAATGTTCAAATTATACCTGTGGCTTGCATTTATGGTTCACCTTAGTTTTCTGTTTGACAGTGCTGTCCCAGGCAGTAGAACGAAATGAACTGGACACGGTGGCACAGGCCTGTAATCCCAGTGGCTCAGGAGGCTGAGGCAAGTTCAATGGCGAGGCACTGAGCGACTCAGTGAGACCCTGTCTTTAAATAAAATACAAAATAGAGCTGGGGAGGTGGCTCAGTGTTCCAGTGCCCCTGGGTTCAATCCCCAGTACCCCCCCCAAAAAAAAAGAAAAAGAAAAGTAAAAGGATGAGAAATAAACCCAGCTCTCATTATTTTCAGATTTTATATAGAACTTTATTTGAATTAATAAGAATATAGCAAAATTGTCAGCTAAAAAGCAATATTCAAAAATCCATTGTGTTTTGTATTTCTGAGTGCAACAATAAACAATTTAAAACTGAAGTAATATATTATATACATATAATGCAAATATGTAAAGTGTCTAGGAATAAGTTAATAAAATGGGTAAGGTCATAATAATAATAATAATAATAATAATAATAATAATATAATGCATAATGGAATAAAATCATAACATTTTATTGAGAGACATTAAAGAAGATCTAAAAATGGAAACTTGATTCATGGTCCTGAATTGAAAGAATCAGAATCGGAACCATGTTGATCTTCTCTAAATGAGTCTACAGCATCAAGGACCCTAATCAAAACCATTGTGAGTTGTTTTTTTGGATTTGTTTTATTTGGAACTTGAAAATTTACACGTAAGTGCAGAGAAGCTGAGACTAGTCAAGATCTTTCTGAAGAAGAAGGAGGAAGAGGAGGATATGGTGGCAATGGAATCATCCCTAGAAGATACCAAGACATAAAGCAATGGGGCTGGGGATGTGGCTCAAGCGGTAGCGCGCTCGCCTGGCATGCATGCGGTCCAGGTTCGATCCTCAGCACCACATATAAACTAAGATGTTGTGTCTGCTGAAAACTAAAAAATAAATATTAAAAAATTTAAAAAAAAAGACATAAAGCAAATGGGACTGTGTTCTGATGACACAAGAACAAAGAAATAAGACATTGGGACAAAAAAGAGACACAGCTGAGCACAGTGGCCCATACCTGTAATCCCAGTGCTCAGGAGGCTGAGGCAGGAGGTCTACAAATGCAAGGCCAGCCTCATCAACTTAACAAGACCCAGACTCAAA